AGCTGGGATTACAAGCACCCGCCACCAAGCCTGGCTAATTTTTGTATTTTAAGTAGAGACGGGGTTTCACCATGTTGGCCAGGCTGGTCTGGAACTCCTAAACTCAGGTGATCCGCCCACCTCGGCCTCCCAAAGTGCTGGGATTAGAGGCGTGAGCCACCGCGCCTGGCCCATTCTCCCATTCTCAATCCTGGCTGCATGTTAGGATCACCTGGGTAATTTTTATCTTAAACACCTGTGACCAGGCCCCAAGCCACACAAAAGGGAGTTCCCCTTTGCTTAGAGAACCAAGCCTCAGTGTGGCCTTCAAGGCCTTCATTTCTCCCAAGATCTGTGGTTCATTCATTCGTCGCCCGTTTCCTTCCCCAGTGGCAGCCATGCTAATATGCAAATGAGTCTCCTAATTTGGTCTTGCAAAATGAGGACCACTGTTTTATGTCCATACTTTACAATGTGTACACCCAGCCTTGTATTATAAGTCTTATTGTTTTTCTTACCTGCTGGCTGCACAGGAATTTTGGGGGTGCACTCCTTCTGTTTAGCCACCCACCACCCTAGGGTGGATATGCCGCCGCCTCCAGCTCCCACCCCACAAATAATGCTGCAGTGAACATCCTCGTTGACTCTCCCTCAGGTCCAGAGAGTTTCTTTGGGAAGTCACCCAGGTGTGACTATTGGAATCATTGGGAGATACATATACACAACACTTGACTAAGCCGCATCTGTTTTTCTCAGACTCATGGTGTAAAATGCCATGGCACGGTTTGAATGTGCACGTCTCTGATGACTAATGACTTTGAGCGGCTACGTACACCCTTACTGGCCTTTGAGTTCTTTCTTCTCTTTTTTTTTTTTTTTTTTTTTTGAGACTGAGTCTGGCTCTGTCGCCCAGGCTGGAGTGCAGTGGCCGGATCTCAGCTCACTGCAAGCTCCGCCTCCCGGGTTCAAGCGATTCTCCTGCCTCAGCCTCCCAAATAGCTGGGATTACAGGCACCAGCCACATACCCAGTTAATTTTTTTGTATTTTTAGTAGAGATGGGGTTTCACCGTGTTAGCCAGGATGGTCTCGATCTCCTGACCTTGTGATCCGCCCGTCTCGGCCTCCCAAAGTGCTGGGATTACAGGCTTGAGCCACCGCGCCCGGCCGAGTTCTTTCTTCTCTAAATTGCCTGTTCATATCCTTTGCCCATTGTCCTGTTATGGCTGGTCTCTTTTTCTTGTGAAGAAGATATCTTAAGTGTTAGACTTTGCAAATATTTTCCCCCATTCTGATACCTATTACAAATGAAAATTATTATTATTTTTTGAGGTGGAATTTTGCTCTTGTTGCCCAGGCTGGAGTGCAGTGGCGTGCTCTCATCCCACTGCAATCTTTGACTCCTGGGTTCAAGCGATTCTCCTGCCTCAGCCTCCCAAATAGCTGGGATTACAGGCACCAGCCACATACCCAGTTAATTTTTTTGTATTTTTAGTAGAGATGAGGTTTCACCATGGTGGCCAGGCTGGTCTTGAACTCCTGACCTCAGGTGATCCGCCCGCCTCAGCCTCACAAAGTGCTGGGATTACAGGTGTAAACCACCGTGCCTGGCTTTTTTTTTTTTTTGAGACAGAAACTCACTCTGTCATCCAGGCTGGAGTGCAGTGATGCGATCTTGGCCCACTGAAACCTCCGCCTCCTGGGTTCAAGTAATTCTCATGCCTCAGCCTCCCGAGTAGCTGGGATTACAGGCACCCACCACCATGTCCGGCTAATTTTTGTATTTTTAGTAGAGACAGGGTCTCGCTTTGTTGCCCAGGCTGATCTCAAACTCCTGACCTCAAGTGATCTGTCTGCCTCGGTCCCCCATAGTGCTGGAATTACAGGCATGAGCCACCGCACCCGGCCCCCAGCATGCTTATTAAATCTCCTTGTCGTATATGAAGCTCCTGTACACACCTGGGTCTGCCTCTGGGTTCTCTGTGCTGTCACTAAATCAGAATTACCAGGGTGAAGCCCAGCAAATCTAATGAACAACAAGGGTGGAGAATCCTGACTGCATGGTAATAGAATCTGTGTTAGACACACACACAAACACTACATTTCCCAACCTCCCTTGCCTCTGGGTGCGGCTGCGTGACTAAGCTCTGGCCAATGAAGCAATGGCAAAACCTCTGGGTCAGTCCTTCAAGAGGAGTGCCCTCCTCTCTCTGTGCCCCCTTCAGAGCATAAGGAATCCTCTAATACCACATGGGAGAGGCAGGTGTCCCAGGAGGAAGGAAAAAGATGGAAGGACCAATTCAGAGTCCCACAGAAGCAGGCCTTTTACACGGAAGAGCAGTCGTGGATGGCAGGGGTTCCCAAATGTGAGCGGGCACCAGCATCCCCCAGAGAGTGTGTTAAATACAGATCACTGGGCCTCACCAGCATCTGATGCACCCAGGGTGGCGCACACGGATTTGTTTGCGTGTCCAGTAACTTCCCAGTGATGCTGCTGGTCTGGGAACCACACTGTGAGAACAGCCAGTCTGACCTGGCTGCATCGTTTATTTTGGGTCTCTGTAAACGCACCTCCAGCCCGCAGGTGGACAAATCCATCCCTGTGCCCCTCCTGGGCCTCCGGGTCTGACCCTCACCCATGGCACCTGTCCAGCCGAGTGTCATTCATTCCCGTGGAGCGCCTCAGCTGGTCAATTAAATGTGGGCAGAGGGAATCCTCTGGCGCCACCCCTGTCCTAAGCGCTCCCCTGTTCCGCTCCAGGCGGACGCCTGAAACATGCATCTGTAGACCCCCTGGGCCAGTGGGGTCGGGAAGGGTCTGCCGGTAGGAGGCTCCTGGGTGAGAGTCCAGGGCGGGAAGCTGGACGAAGCCACTCTGCTCTGGCCGGGCAGAGGCGAGAGTGACCATCTGAGATTTGGGGAATGCCATCGGCCCCTTCTGTTCCTCCAGCCACACAGGTGGCAGCAGCCTCCTGTCCTTAATGATCGCTGGGCACCTGGCCCTCTGTGGCTCCTCCAGCCTTCTCAAAGCTTTGTCATGATCCAACCACCTTTACCAAATCCCGCCATGTGAAACAACTCTGGTTGGGGTCTGTTTACCTGACTGGCTCCCGCTGGAGGAAGCCACGTGGGGAGGAACGGGACCTCGGGCAGCTTTCACCCCGCGCCGCCCAAAGCCGTGCCTTCAAACTGCAGTTGAGTGGGCCGGGCGTGGTGGCTTATGCCTGTAATCCCAGCACTTTGGAGGGCCAAGGAGGGAGGATCGCTTGAAGCCAGGAGTTCGAAACCAGCCTAGGCAACTTAGTAACATGTCTCTCAAAAAAAACTCCCCCCCCCTCCCCAAACAAAAAGAAACAAACCTGCAGTGAGTGACTGAAGGCACCAAAACCAGCAGTCACCGGGGGTCACACATGTGACTGGGTACAGGAGCTCCCGTCTCTGAGCCCATGGTTTCTTCAGCAGGAGCGTGGGCAGCTCCTAGAGCTAGCTGTTCTCAGTGCCTGTGGGGTCGCCGAGCACCCTGGCTGAGTCTTGTGTTTCTGAGATGCTCTGTTCTTCTCAGTCCTTATCTGAGTCTGGAACCACAGTCACAGCGGCCTCCTGAACTGCTATTCTCTTTTCTGGAACAACTTGTTCACGAGGTAGAAGGAATTACCTGCTCTTTCAAAGTCTGGTAAATCTCATTTGAGGCCAGGCACGGTGGCTCACGCCTGTAATCCCAGCAGTTTGGGAGGCCGAGGCGGGTGGATCACGGCGTCAGGAGTTCAAGACCAGCCTGGCTAAGATGGCAAAACCCAGTCTCTACTAAAAATACAAAAAATTAGCTGGGCGTGGTGGCAGGCGCCTGTAATCCCAGCTACTCGGGAGGCTGAGGCAGGAGAATCGCTTGAACCCAGGAGGCAGATGTTGCAGTGAGCTGAGATTGTGCCACTGCATCCAGCCTGGGCGACAGAGTCACACTCCGTCTCAAAAAAAAAAAAAAAAAAATCTCATTTGAAAGCGCATTCGAGCCCGAAGCGTTTTATTTATTCTGGAGTGTGTGTGCAGTGAGGAGACAGTTATTTTGGTCTTGTTTTCTATTTCTTCTTTTGCCAATGTTAGCATTTTTTTTTTTCCAGAAAGGCATCCACCTCACCTAAGCCTCCAACACACTGCAGAGAGCACAGCTGCTTGCACCGCTGGGTTTCACTCTGTGATGACCCATCTAGGCTGTGCTTGCACTTGGCATAGGCCCTGCCACACACACAGTGCCCTGATTCTTGGGGTCAGGACCTGTGGAGGGCGGGAGGCGTGGACTAATCTGGAATCTCTGCCCTGGCCACTCACTTCCAAGAGGACCAGGCTGAGATCTCTGGTGCTGATGACGCCTGGCTGGCTTTGGGGATGGAGGCTCACTCCTGGCTCTCCCCCTGCCCCACTGCCTCCCTGGGTGCCGGGGAGGATGCAGAAAGTGGAGCCCAACAGGGCCTGAGGCACGAAGTGCCAGAATGCAGCAGCAGCAGGGATGGCGGCATGGCCACCTCCATGCCAGTCAGATGCCCCCCAGCGTGGGCTCGGCTCCGGGCTCCCGCGTGGAGGGACGCACTTCACAGGGGGTCTCTCCGAAGCCAGCAGCTCCAGGCCAGTCGGCCTCAGTCAGTCCTCCTAAAGTCCATCTGCCCACTGACCAATCTGCCACATGGCCTTAAATTTACCAACATCGGGTTAGCTCCTACCTACCAAACGCGCTCAAGATAAACAGCCTTTAAAAGGTTCCAGGAAATTGCAGATTTGGCAAACTGGGATCAGTCTGCACGTGGACCGTGGCAAACTGGCTGCTTCCAGGGGTGGGGACAACCCTGTCCCATTCTGAGGAGTGGCGGGTTCGGGGGGCTTACCGGCTGCTTTGAGCTGAACTCCCCACTCCCCACCCCACCCTTGCCCTGCCCTGGCTGGAACCGTGGTTTGCTCCCAGATCCAGACCCTCTCCCTGCAAATTCCCACCCAAGACAGTCGGGCAGGGCCCCCAAACACACCACACACACAAAACAAGAGAACGTTTTAATTGTAAAACTAACTCGAGGCAGGGGTGGGGGGGCCGGGGCTGCGCTGACCGGGCAGGAACCTGGGTCTCCAGGCAGTGGTTCTGCCCGGGCCACCCCGTAGGACAGGGACCATCTGTCCCCCAATAGGGGCAGGGGCTAGAGTGTTATAAAACGACAATATAAATAGACTTCTAGAAAAGAGGAGGCTGTCCAGGTGCAGTAGTCATTTGCTGCAGGGGCTGGAGAGGGTGGGGGGCCCTGACCCTGTCTTCCCATCCAGCCACAGAAAGGGGGTGCAGGGCTACGGGAAAAGGCCACTCTTCGGACATTCATGATCGACCCCCACAATGGCTCAGGGGGAGGGCTGGGTGTCAGGCAAGGCGCCAGATACCCCGTTGCAGGCTGGAGGACGGGGTGGCTGGATCTTTGCACACATGCACATGCACACTCGCACGCGTGCACACTCACACACACGTTCACCTCTCTTAGTGTTCTCTCCACCCCCAGCAACCCCCACTGCAGACTTCCAGTGATGGGAGGGCCGCTGTCCTCCTGGAGACAAGAACACGGGGGAGGGCCTGTCCCAGAGGGTGAGGGTCCTGGGAGCCTCACTTGCTCCCACGAGTCCCTGTGTTTTTCTAAAAGTCACGAGATCAAAACCGGAGTTCAGTAGTAGGGTCCCATCTACCCCCGGCAAGGAGGGCGGCGCCACACGGAGCATCTCCCGGGCTGGGAGGAGTGGGAGGCCTGGCCCCCTACTGGCCTCGGTGGGGCGGGGGTGACCCGGGGGGCTCTTTGGTCGAGGGGAAGGGCGCTGGGCCTCATCTGGTGCGGTTCTGGCGCATGAGGGGCACGATGCTGGCGGGCGGCCCCGCCTTGGCCAGGAATGGGTGCTTCAGCAGCTCAGCTGCCGTGGCCCGCTGGGCAGGGTCCCGCACCAGCAGGCGGTCCAGGAAGCCCTTCAGGGATGGTGACACCTGTCGAGGAGGAGCGGAGGGTCAGGGGGTGAGGGCCTCACTGATGGTGTGCTGTGGGGCCGCAGTTTCCGCCTCTGCCAAGTCGGCTGGCGGCACGTACTGTGCAGGAAGGAAGCCGGCAGAGGTCATGGGTGTCTAGAGCTTGGGGTGTAGACGGGACAGGGACAGTGATGGTGCCCGCGATGGCGCTTACTGTGTGGCCCCAGAGGAAGCGACAAACTCTGGAGGCTCATGTACTCCCTATTTCCATGGCTTAGCAAGGAGCTGGAAGCAACTGGGCCCCAGAGGTGCCCCTTTCTCTCCTGGCGAGTCCTCCACTAGGAAGGTCCCGGCCCTGTCCTCCGCTTCTAAATGTGCGAATCTCTCTAGGGCCGCCGGGCAGAGCCCAGGGCAACAGTGAGGGTGCAGGGGGCCTGGGGCTCTGCTGCCTCTGTCGCCCAGGCCCCACAGACGGGGTCTGCACAGACACATGAGGCCTGGGGGTACGGGGCCCAGCACACAGTAAGCACCATCCCAGGCGCCATCACCATCCCCATCCCGTCTACACCCGCTGCTCCGGCTGGCGCAGTTTCCCGGCCAGGGAGGGGTCTACCTTGTGCAGGTTCTTCAGTCGGGGCGGCAGGTTGTCCCGAATCATCTTCATGGCTTTGAGGGGTGGCTCGTTGAAGTAGGGGGGCTCTCCGTCCACCATCTCAATCACCATTATCCCCAGTGACCAGATGTCCACCTGGGGCAGGGGAAGGGACAGCAGGGCTGAGCTGTTGGGGGATGGTGGGTCGTGGGGAGGCCTCAGGGAGGAACCGCCCAAACGCTGTCTCTGCCTCTGGCTCCTGGAGTCCTTGGCCCAGAACTCCCTCTTGGACACCCAGCCAGCAGTCCACGTGCCAGGGAGCCCCTGAAGAGAGCTGCCCACCCCGCACCCACCCCTCTTCTTTCTGTCAACTGCCCCCAGGTCCCCTCCCTCCCTCAGTCCAGGTGGCATCCAGTGGTGGGTTCAGGACCCAGGTAGCCTCATCACCACAGTGGAGACACAGTGATTGGTTCAGAAACAAGCACAGGACCCAGCCTGGGTCAATTAGAGCCAACCTGGGGACTTTACCCAAAACACCCAAGGAAAGAGGGGAGCCCGCAGGCAGGAGACACTTCCCAGAGCTGCCGGGGCCAGCTCTGCTCCCACAAGGGGAAAGCCAGCCTGTGAAGACAACGCTCAGAAATCAGAGCCAAGGCCGGGCGAGGTGGCTCACACCTGTAATCTCAGCACTTTGGGAGGCCAAGGTGGGCAGATCACCTGAGGTCAGGAGTTCGAGACCAGCCTGGTCAACATGGTGAAACCTCATCTCTACTAATACAAAAATTAGCTGGGCATGGTGGCCGGCACCTGTAATCCCAGCTTCTCAGGAGGCTGAGGCAGGAGAATTGCTTGAAGCCGGGAGGCGGAGGTTGCAGTGAGCTGAGATTGCGCCACTGCACTCCAGCCTGTGCGACAGAGCAAGACGCCATTTCAAATACACAAACAAAAAAAGAATGAATGAATACATGTATGCCTGCAGTACCTCCTCATCCAGAGCACCATTCCTGGCAATCACTCCCAGACTGGGCCCCACCTCCCGCCAGCGCTGCAGCTGGAAAATGGCAGTGTCTGCTGTCCACAGCGGGACAGCCTAACCACCCTGGGGCTCACCTCTGGCCCGTAGGGAAGGCGGGAGATGAGCTCTGGGGCCATCCAGTAGGGCGTGCCGACCAGCGACTTCCTTCGGGGCACTTCCTTGCTCACCTGGGCACAGAACCCGAAGTCTGACAGCTTCACCTGGGGCGGGCAGAGGCAGTGGGGTCAGAGGAGCTGACACTACAGGAAGGCGAGCAGGGGGGGTCCGCCTGCCTCATTCCTTGGCTTCAGACACGATGTGCCGCCCAGAGGACAGAGCTGGTGTCCAGAGCCAGACCAATAGGAAGCTCCACCACCTCCTGGTGGGGGCCCTGGGGCGAGTCACCTCCCCCAGGATCCCCTCATTTCCCTTCCTGACAGCCTCTGGGGCTTTTGGGGGCACTGCCCTGAGTACTGCAGATAGCAGAGGCCGGGCTGGAGCTGGGAACAGGGGTGGCCCAAAAAGCCTGTGCCCTGGGGCCCTGCTGCCCTCCAGCAAGTCTTTAGTTGGTTGGAAACAAGGCAGCCCCGCACTGGGGCCGTGAGGGGACACAGCCTGCCTTTGCCACAACCAGGCCCCTCACACCTCAGGAACTGTGGGCCCCTGTCCGACTTCTCAGGATCTCTTTGGGTCTTCCTGCCTCCAGAAAACATCCCCACACCGTGTGTGGACAATCTCCGGTGGCCACAGATGTCGCCAAAACACATCTGTAGACATCCGGAGCTTTTCACAGACTGCCAGTGACACAGCTTTCTCTGCCTCTGCCTGGACTGACTGGTGGGGCTTAATCTTCCTTGGGGGAAGGGACGGAGTCATCCACTTCTGCAAGCATTTCATTCAAGTCAAGGGCCCCCTCTCCCAGAAAATCACGTCCACCCGGCGTTAGAATTGCCATGGCCTCAGATTCGGAACCTCAGTCCAAAGTACGGAAGACAGGGCTGGGGTCCACGGCCCGGCCCGGGTGCTGGGCAGGGAGCGGCTTTTCAGTGGAGGGAGAAGCCTGTGGTGGGGGCTGCGCTGTCTGCCCAGATCCCTGCCCCTGGGCCCAGCGTCCTGTGCTGATGGCACAGCCTCCGCCAGCCTCTGCCCTCCCACTGCATACAGTCCCCACTGAGCTGGAGCCTGACTCTGTGCTGCTCCACGACGGAGAGAGAACTTCCCGGCTCCTCAACTCAAGACACAGACCTGGGGGTCGGAGCTCACCTACCCTCAAAGGGGATGGGGAGAGGCGGGGAAGCCCCGCAGCCGGAACCCCACCACCCCTGCACCCCGCCGCCCGTCCCCTCACCCTGCCGTCATGGGTCAGCAGGATCGAGTCGCTCTTGATGTCCCGGTGGATGACGCCCTGGGCGTGGAGCACCGACAAGGCCTGCAGCACTGCCAGGCACACGGCCGCGATCTGCTCCTCGTTCATCCTGTGGGGTGGGGTGGGGGTGAGCAGCCAGGTGGACAGCACCCTGGGGGCCGAGGGGGATGCAGCCCTGCCTTGGGATGGGAGGACTCTGAGACCACTCGGCCCCACTCTGGAACGGGAGGAATGGAAGACAAGGCCCTATCCCGAAGGCCCGAAGCACAGCTGGTTTGGAGATGTGGCCCCACCCTAAGCGGTCTGGAGGGGACTTGGTTGTGTCACAGGAGGAGTCTGAGGCCCCCGCAGTACCTGGTGTGGGTGACGATGTCGGTGAGGGCGCCTCCTTCCAGGAACTCCATGACCACCCAGAGCTCGTCCCCCACCAGGTAGCTGTTGTACATCTCCACCACATTCTCGTGCTGGTAGTCCCTCATGATCACCACCTGTGCAGGGGCTGCATCAGTGGTGGGGGGGAGGCGGGAGGGCTGCCAGCCCTGCCTCAGACCCAGCCAGCGCCACCCCCGTGGTTCCTCCTGCAGTTCCACATCGAGCTTGTGCTCACTGGGGTCACCTGGACTGCCCTCCCCTACTGCCACAGCCACATGGGCCTCAGAGCCAGCTTGAAGCCCATGCCTCCCTTATAGGGGTGCACCCCCCTGGGCACACGCTCGTCTCAGGTCAGTCCTGGGCTGGTGCTGGCGGGGAAGTGGGAAGACCGCGTTCAAGCACAGAGCTGAGACCCAGACAAGCAGGTATGGGGCAAGGATGAGAGAAGAGGCGTGCATCTAGGGGTGGATGAGGAACTCAGGCGACGAGCTCCTGGTGCAGCCAGGCGCTGTGATGCGCAACGGGGCCAAGAGGGGCCTCACACACCCGGCAAAGGGGCCTGGGCTTCCTATTGTCAGGGCACTGAAGGGCGCTACCAGGGTCTCTAAGGAGGGATGGGGATGGGGTGGCCTGAACGTGAAACATCCTCTTGGTCGTTGTGTGGGCTGTGCCGAGGGGATGCCCAGGAGCTGAGGCCGGGGCGGGGCACAGGGAACCCAGGAGGGGCAGGTCTGGAGGACACTGTACCCTGGAGCCCGGGTGGGCTTCAGTGGGTGCAAAGGGCCTGAAAGACACAGGGTGAGGGGTCAGTGGGCCGAGGAACCCTGGGTCTGGGGCTCAGGGACAGAGATGTGGGTGAGAGTGCTGTGAGGACAGAGGCAGGGACCCAGCTGGGGCAGAGGAGATGGCCTGGGGAGAGAGAGGAGTGAGGGGAGGAGAGGAGGCTGGCCCAGCACGGAGGAGTGCAGGGAGAGGAGGGAGGGCAGGGCGGGAGGACTGGCAGGGTGGCAGGTCGGAAGGGCAGCACGGCAGCAGTGCCCGCACCTCGTTGAAGAGCAGCTCGCGCCTCTGCTGCTTGCGCAGGTCCATCTTCTTGACGGCCACAAGCTTGCCCGAGCTGCGCACGGTGGCGATGCACACAATGCCCGTGGAGCCCTCGCCAATCTTGATGAAGTTGTCCAGGTAGGAGCGGGGGTCACCTGGGTCCACCACCAGCTGCAGGGCAGCCCGGAACTGCTCATGGGATACTCGCTGCGGCTCCCGCTGTGGCGAGCGGGGGCCAGGGGGCCCGGGCACGGCTGGGGCAGCAGGGGCGGCTGGGGCGGCTGGGGTGCGGGCTGGAGGGGCCAGCTGGGGCTCTGAGGCGTGGGGGCCCAGCACTCCAGGGCTGGGGGCGCCTCGGGCTCGGGTGGGAGGCCGGGAGGAGGAGGAGGAGGACTGGGGGACGGCCAGGCCCCCCGCTGATGGCCCGTTGGGGGCCACGTCATGAGGCTCCCCCTGAAACAGAAGAGAGAGGCAGCTGTCAGTGATGGGTTCCAGCAGGAGAGAGACCCAGCGATGGGACAGACACATGGGTGGTCAGGATGAGATGCATGGTGGCAGGGTGGGGCTGGAAGGTGGGGACGGAGGAGCAACGGGCAGGGGACAGCGGGGCCCTGGGGCGGGGGATGGGTTACCTGGGCACCCCGGGATGGGTGGTCCGTGTCAGCCCTCGGGTAGGTGTTAAAGGGCCGGCCAGCTGCCAATTTCGCCCCACTGGCCAGACCAGCAGGCTGGGGGGTGCCGACGTCAGGCCCGGAGAGGGGGCGTTTGTCCCGGGAGGACTCCTGGGGCCCCCCTGAGCCCTCCCTGGAAGACTTGGGCCTCTTCTCTGGCCCCACCCGTCGCCTGTCACCACTGCCGCCACCCGCCTCGCTGTGACTGGCGATCCGGCCTTGGCTGCCTGCCTTCCCCGGGCCCCCTCTGGCCGTGGTGGCCGGCTCCTCCGGCATCCCATTTTCCTGGCGGGCACGGGCGGGCGGTGGCGGGCTGTCTCTCCGCAGGGAGTTGGAGCGTGTCACCGACATGTTCTCAAACTCATCCAGCAGCAGCGTGAGCGCCCCATCCTTGGCACCTTTGCTGCCCCGCACGATGGTCTGGGGTCCCAGTCAATGGTGGGTGGGGGCCCAGCAAGGAGTGGGGCACACAGGACGTGCATCCGACACGCGGGGACAGGACAGCACGACACACACAGAGACAAGACAGAGACGCAATGAAGAGATGCCATGGAGTGACAATGGCATGGGTGGTGCGGCCCCTCCCCTCCCTGGGGACGCAGCTGCAGAGGCCGGAGGAGTGATCCCCATGGCCAGGCTGCTGCCCCCTGGGCTGGGTGGGACCCTGGGGAGACACCCTTTGTTTTTCTCCTGTTCCCCACACTGGCAGAATAGTCCTGCCCTGTGGGGTTGGGGGAGGGAGGGCAGAAGCCAACCCATCCCCATCCCATAATCAGCCCCGAGGACTGCAAATGACAGGGAGCTGGGGCCTGGCCTGGCCTGGCACTTCCTCCCCTGTGGGCGCCAGTGTTCCTTAGCCCCAAAACCACACTCTGCTCCCATGAACAACAAGGGGTGGGGGACAGGGAGGGTCAGAAAGGCCTGGTCCCAAACTACAGGGCAAGGGGGTCCCAGGAGCCGGGTGGCAAATACAAACGCAGGTGGGGGCCAGGCAGAGCGTCCAGTGCGTCCCAAGTCACCCTGTCCCCACCCTCCGTGGTCTGAGTCGTGTCCTGCAGGGCCCCTCTGTCCCCGCCCCATTTCCAGGCACACGGGTGTCTCCCCACCACGCCCCCACCCAGGGCCTCTGCTGGCTGCTCCCTCTGCCCAGAACATCAGCTCTCAGGGTCACCGTGGCTCCCTCCCTCCACTCCTTCAGGTCTTCACTCAAAACTCAGCTTCTCAATGAGGCTTCCACTGGCCACCCATCATCTAAAATGCCAGCCCCTGCCCTGCCTGCATTCTACCCAGAGCGCCTGACAGCAGCTGATATAGAGCACACAGGCATCTGTCTGCTCCCGGCTCTGCCCAGTGCACGCTCTGGGCAGGGACTGTTTTTTCCTGTCTGCTTCAGGTCCTGCTACATCTCAGCACCTAGACCAGCATCTGGCGCACAGCAGGGGCTCCGTGCACTTTTGCTAAACCACGGAGTCAGTGAGGCGGCTGTGCAGAGGCCACGGTGAGCTGAGAACATGGGCCCTGCTGACAGGGACCCTGCCCGGGGTTCAGATATCCTCCAGCCGGAGGCCTGCCTCTAATGTGCAGAAAACACTGACGCCACAAACCCGTGGTCTGCCGCCGCCCTGCCTCTCCTGGCTGTGGCTGTCTGCCTGAAGCCGGGCCTTGCCCAGGGGCCCCAGGAAAGCAAGGTGGACACTAGGCCAGTCTTTGCTCTTAGAACCGGGAATTGAGGCTAGGAGCGGTGGCTCATGCCTATAATCCCAGCACCTGGAGAACAAGGATCACCTGAGGTCAGGAGTTTGAGACGAGCCTGGCCAACATGGCGAAAACCCATCTCTACTGAAAAGACAAAAACTAGCTGGGCATGGTGGTGGACACCTGTAATCCCAGCTACTCGGGAGGAAAATCACTTGAGGCAGGAAAGTCACTTGAACCCAGGAGGCGGAGGCTGCAGCTAGCCAAGATGGCGCCATTGCACTCCAGCCGGGGAGACAGCAGGAATGTGTCTCAAAAACAACAACAACAACAACAAAAACAAAAACAAAGAAACAAAAAAAACACACAAAAAAGCACAGGGGGTTGAGAGGGCCCTGGAAGGCCTGAGGCCCGGACAAGGGCAGCAAACACAAGCGCCCATGGGGCCCCAGGACAGTGCCGGCCATGAGGCCCTGTGCTTAATTTCGGTGTCCCGCCTCCTGGTGGGACCGCCACAGGCAGGCCTCCTATCTGGCAAGCCAGGCAGGAGCTGGGTTTTTGGAGACACCTTGATGTGGGTCAAAACCTACATGCAACTGGCCAGAGCCAGGCAGGGTGTGGAGCTGAGGCGGGTCGGGTGTGGCCTGTGGCCCAGAAGAGCCAGTACCCGGCCTGCAGAGGCCACTGCCACTCGGCTCCAGCTGGTCTGTCACCAGATGCCAGAAACAGCCTCGGAAGTGGTCTGTCACTTTTTCAGTGGTGGCAAAGAAGTCAAAGCATTCAAAAGCGTCCTGTGTGGGCCACATGGAACCCTCAGTGGGCCACCACACTGAGCTGCACTTGTGTTTACGGCCAACTTGTGGGCCCTTGGGGCTCCTCCCCGCCAGGCCGGGCTGGGCACCCGGAAGGGTGAGTCCCCAGGCACACCCATCTCCACCCGCTGGAAGCAAACCTGGCCGAGCTCCCCCTGGCCTGCGGCCCCTCCCGGTCCCCACTGACCACGGGAGAGAGTCCAGGCTCCAAGGCTGGCTTCTGAGGCTCAGCAGGGGCTCAGGCCAGGCCAGCCTCGTGCGAGGCCACACCCAGACACCGGCTCCACCACTCTCACCATTTCACATGGAGGCAGGAGAGGGGGTAAGAGCATGGGCCTTGGAAACAGACATTGGTTCAAATCCCAACCTTGCCATTTTGCTCTAGATGGCAGGAAAAAAAAACCCAAAACCAAAAAGCCCGTGTTTCACAGGCGTGATTTCCCCCACTAAAGCCCGGCTTCCCCAGCGCCTGCTGGAACTCCTCCTCCTCCTCCTCAGCTCTGAGCTCCGCCTCGCTGTCCCCTCCTCCCAGAAGCTTGCCTGGAGCCCTGGTCTGGGTCAGGTGCCTCCTCCGGGCTTCCCCATCCAAGCCCTGACCACTCGGGGCTGTCACCCTCTGGGAATGGGTCTGTCTCCCACTGCCACGAGCTCTGGAAAGGCTCAAGAATGTGATGGAGTGTGGTCTGGGGCACAGCAGCGTGGCCCCCGGGGTATGAGTGGCTGGGAGACAGCAGAGTTTGGAGGCTGGTGTGGGGGCTGGCAGATGGGCCATGGGGGATGCAGGTTGGGGTGGCATGGGTTCTCAGAACTTGGAGCCAGTGGGTGGAGGGTGAAAGGCCAGCGCTGGGCCCAGGATCAGGGTTGAAGGCTGGGGTGTGTCTGTTTCCATGTCAGTGAGGAGGTGTCAGTCACAGGGTCGAGTGTGGGGTTGAGGGCCGGGGCCACTCGGGGCTGGGGGTGGGCTGGGGGAGGTAGTGGTGGCTGCCGCATACCTTGGGGGCCCCGGGCTGGATGGAGGTGATGCAGGCGGGGTCGATGAGGGGCTTTGGCCGGCGAGCCGACTCCTCGATCAGGCTCTGCCACTGGCGGGGCAGCCCCGTGAACTTCTGCTCATGCTGGTCGAAGCCCGTGTGCACGCGGTGCTCGAAGTTGGACGGCGCGGAGATCTCCACCCGCTTCTTCCTCTTCCCAAACATGATTCTGGGCGGCTCGGTGCGGCCTGCGGGAGGGAATCGTGGTGGGTGAGAGAGAGCCTGCCTGTGTCTCTTCCTCCTCTGCCCTGCCCTGTCCCTTCCAATCTCATCTTCCACCGGAACCAACAGGAGGCAGGTGCCTCCTTCCACGTCTCCCTGCTCACCCCCTGCCCCCATCTGTGTGGCACACGCAGCCAGAGGGCGCCCGTGAGCACCTGAGCTGCCACGTCCCTCGGCTCAGAACTTCCCTGCCGCTCTGTCTCCTGCGGGCCCACAAGGCCCCATCACCTCTCTGTTCTCACCCCCTGGAGACCTCAGGGCCTTTGCACAGGCTGGCCCCCCTGCCAGGAGCTCACTTCCAGTGTCCGCACGGGCTCCCCATCTCCTCCTTCAGTTCTCAGAGCAGCAGTGACTCTTTCCCTGACCACCCCAAGGCAAGCAGCCCCGTGTCCCGCCGTCCCCGCTCCACATCACCGTCACAGCCCAGAAATCCTGTCTGTTGTTCCATCTTAGGTTGCCGAGCGCAGCATCCACACCACTCCGCCAGAATGTCAGTGCTACCTTCTGGCCAGGTCTCATCCGCCCCGCTTCCCCACATCCCCCGCTATGCCTGGTACACGGTGTGTACTCAATGGACGGTCACTGCTGCCCTGGCCACAGCCACCACCGCTGGTCCAGCCCTGAGTCTGGGCTCGGGACGCACACACCATTGGATATTGCCTCAGCACAGGGTTACTGAGCCCCTGGGGTAAGAGGGCACCCGGGCAGCCTTGCCGCGACACTCCCCTATCTTCAGGATCTGTGGTCTTCAGTCCGGCCCTTGCCATAGTACCAAGCACAGAGCAAACGCTCGACCAAAGCCACTTTAAAAAACAAAGGGGCTGAGGGGGAGACATGCTGATGGCGGCATCTCATAGACAGCCCGGAGAAAGATGGGAACGGGAGCCAGGTGGCCAGAGTTTGACTCTCCACCACATGCTGCCGTGACCTTGGGCAAGTGACAACCTCTGTGTGCCGTGGATGAACCCCCACAGGGCTGCTGCGAGGGGTCATGGGTGACAGGGAGCCAAGAGCTTGGTGCAGGGCTGGGCAAACGCGGGGGGCCTGTCGGTGGGGGCCACTGTGATGGCCAGGGCAGCTCCCACAGTGTCTGTGGGAGGAGGGGCCCAGTTCCTGCTCCCCTGGAAGGCCCCACCCCAGCTGTCCCAGGCCTGGGCCCTGGAGTCGCACACACCTGGTCTGATGCTGGTGGGACAGAAGTGCCCTCAGGCGGGTGACCACTCCTCTAGAGGCTTCGGGTTACTCATCTGTAAAATGAGAGGAATGCATCCGTTCACTCAGTCACTCATTCACTCATTCACTCATTCACTGAGGAATAACTCAGCAATGGGCCTCCTCTGCGGCCACCACAGCGGCCCCGACAGCCTCTGACCTCATGGGAAGTTCGTGTGGGGCAGACAGACCTGTCCCCATGCAGCAGCAGCCCAGGTGGTCAGGGCTGGGGGACGGGAGCACGGGACCCAGCCTGGAAGGACGGCGGGGTGGGCAGTAGGGAGGCTTCCCGGAAGAGGGGAACAGTTGAGACCAGAGGACGGGGGGACACGCAGGTGGAGTTTCTGTTCTGTCTTGTTCCCAGCTGGCTCCCCAGAGCCTGGCACAGTGCGCAGCCCAGAGAGTCCTGTGGTCCTAGTGAGAGGACAGAGGACGCGCAGATGCATGTGGCCCCTCCACACCTGCTTCTCCGCCCAGCTCAGGCTGCCTTCATGGGAGCAGCCAGGAAAGGTGAGGCCCTGGCCAGAGCTAGGACCATGGATGAGAGCCAGCCAGGGGAACCGGTTTGGCAGCGGGAACCCCGTGGGAGGCGGGTGGGGAGCCGGCAGTCAACCTGTCTCAACTGGTCCCAAGAGGTCAGCGGGTGGTCAGAGCCGGCCTGGCCAAGGCTCCTAGGGTTGACCCAGTTTCCCTGCTTGCCCTGGGGCCCAGGATGCAGGGCGGGCAGGGGGCCTCTTTTGTGTCTGCCCAGCCCCTTCTCCGAGCCCAATGCCGGTGCCCTGAGTGCTGCCCAGCCCTCCCTCCTGGCCTCCCAGCCCAGCCCATCCCTGGTGGCCCTGACCTACTCTCTCGCTGCTTTCTAGGCCCAGCTCCTAGGGTCATCCACATACCCCAGCAGTCCCCATCTCCCCACTCTGCCTGCTGTCACTCCAGAGCTGTGTCCCATGTCCTCTGGCCTCTCCGTCCTCCCAGATGTCCCTCCACCGCCTTTGGCCCCATGCCCAGCCCGTGACTCTTCATCGTGAACCTGTCACCCCGCCCATCCCGCTCCCTCCCCACTGCGGGGCACTAGGCTGTTCCCACAGTCACAGGAACAGGATCAGCCATGTGACCCTCACTAAGCCCAGAGGGTGGAGAGCAGGGAAGACCTGGAGGTGGCGGACGCCTGGGGACAGGGCAGGAGAAGCCTGGAAGGCAGGCGGCTGACCCAGCTAGCAGCACGGGGTCTGGGGTATGTCCTCCGAAGCCTGGCCTCCTGCCCTCCCACCCATAAACCCCCAAGGGGGCAAGGGGCACACCTCCGGATATTTGCCTGGGGCCACCCCTTTCCTCTGGGCACTGCAAAGAGGGCAGGACAAACAGAGGAACTGAACATGTTTATAATGACTAGGCAGGGGCCCCACCCTGGGCCCTCCTGGGCAGCTCCAAGCCCTGCTGGCTTCCCCGGTAGGCGCTCCCTTCCCGACATAAGCTCCTGATCTTGCGGGGGCCACAAAGGCCGTGCCAGGCCTGGGAAGACGGAGAAGAGCTAGGCAGAAAGGCTGGGCTTGCCCAGGTGCAGGGAAGGAAGGGTGGGGGCTGGGCTCCTGGGCCAGCTCTGAGCTTGGCAGTCAGGCTGTCCAGGGCTCCAAACACCGGCAGGGCTGCTATGACCTGCCCTGTGTGACTTCACTTTCTGTGTCTGTGAATTGGGGATCTAACCCAACCTGGGGACCTCAATATGTGGCCCTGAGTGAGCAAGTCAGCCATGCTGTGCCTCAGTTTCCTCCTCTGTTCAAAGATGGCGATGACAGTAGCTGCTTCCTGGAGTATTTATTTTTTTTAAATGGAGTCTCGCTCTGTTGCCCAGGCTGGAGTGCAGTGGCGTGATCTCAGCTCACTGCAACCTCCGCCTCCTAGGTTCATGCAATTCTCCTGCCTCAGCCTCCCGAGTAGCTGAGATTAACAGTTGCCTGCCACCACGCCCAGCTAATTTTTGTACTTTTAGTAGAGATGGGGTTTCACCATGTTGGCCAGGCTGGTCTCGAACTCCTGACGTCTAGTGATCTGCCCTCCTCGGCATCCCAAAGTGCTGGGATTACAGGGGTGAGCCCCCACGCCTGGCCTTACTGGAGTTTTTACAAGGAATTACGGAGAACACAGAGCACGGAGGGCCTGGCCCAGAGACAGCGGTTGGGATCAGAGCCAAGGCAAATCACACACAATAAGTGCCGGTCACCATTCCAGTAGCAGCCAGCACTTACGGAGTAGCTACTGTGTACCAGCCCTCTTCCAGGCACTTTACCCGGGTCCCACATCTGGCCCTGGAGGGAGGGGCCATTATAAGCCCCAGATTACAAACAGGGAAAACAAGGCACAGAGGGGGACCTCATTAACCCAGGTGACCCAGCTAGGGTGGCAGAGTGGACACCAGACTCCAGGCCTGTCTGCAGAGATTCACAGGTTCCGGCCCTGCTGTGTCTAATCCCGCTCCATCCTCACAAGCATCCTCATCCCAATTCACAAATGGGGAAACTGAGGCCCAGAGAAGGGAAGGCCCTTGTCCAGGGCATGGACAGGAGAAGCAGCCAGTGAGAAGCAGCCAGGATTTGAACCTGAGCGGTTGTATGTGGAAGGCACTGAAGGCTGGGCTCTTACCTGCCTGTCCTGCTGCCCTGGAGGGCTGAGGTGATGCTGTTGGTTTTATTATTATATTATTATTATTATTACCATCATCCTCTCAAGGCTCGTCCTGGCCTCCCCTCTCCCTCCCTCCCTCCGCATTCTTTCTGTCTACACCCAGACCTTGCCTTTCCTCTCCTGGCCGAGTCTCTGCTGAGGCTCCCTCCCTCCTGTGTGACCCGTCCTGGACACCACAGGCAGTGGGAGGAAGCAAAAGTGGGCCCCCGGGCCCCCGCCTCCTCCATGGCTGTTCACCAGCCTTTCCCATGGGCCTTTGCAGCAGGAAAGATGCTTAAAACCAACCCTTCCCACCAAGTGTGGCCTGAGGCTCAGCTCGGTACTCCCACCACCACACGGGACCCATGGCCAGAGCAGAGGCTGAAGCTGAGCTCACAGGCACCCCCAGCCGCGGTGGTAAAATCTCTCACTAAACTCACCAAGCAGAGCTGGGCCTGGAAGCCAGTCCTGCCCACTCCAGAGTCCACAGCCTTAAACCCTTCACTGGCCCCCAAAATGCCTCCTTGTGGCCTGAGAGTCCCCACAGGGCAGGCCCATCACCACACTGCCCTCCTCTCCTCCCAAGCACCCCTGTACTCACTGTGCCCTGGCCACACAGGTCCCCCTGCTGTTCCTCAAATCCTAGACACGGTCCCACCTCAGCGCCTTTGCATGGGTGAGTCACTGGAACTCTCCTCTCACTGACCTCCCTCCTCCCCTGACTTCCCAGGCCCGCCTGTGCTCACAAGCCCTGCTCCTGTCCTGTCACCCTCTACGCCCATCTCTGCTTTATCTTTCCTTAGGGCTCTTACCACATACACGGGGGGGTGTGTGTGTGTGTGTGTGTGTGTGTGTGTGTGTGTGTGTGTGTAATTCTTTTTTTTTTTTTAGACAGAGTTTCACTCTTGTTGCCCAGGCTGGAGTGCAATGGCATGATCTCGGCTCACTGCAACCTCCGCCTAGTGGGTTCATGTGATTCTCCTGCCTCAGCCTCCCGAGAAGCTGGGATTACAAGCGTCCACCACCACGCCCAGCTAATTTTTGTATTCTTAGTAGAGATGGGGTTTCACCATGTTGGCCAGGCTGGTCTTGAACTCCTCACCTCAGGTGATCCACCTGCCTCAGCCTCCCAAAGTGTTGGGATTACAGGCGTGAGCCACTGGGCCCAGCCGTGTGTGTAATTCTTTAGCGTCTGCCTCTCCCCTAGAATGTGTCAGCTCCACAGGGCAGGCACGGTCCTCTGTCTTGCCCCCTCACAGCCCAGGGCAGCACACGGTAGGGACTCCGTGGAATGACTGTCCCTGCCCACTGCACTATTCCCCTGCTCAGAGGCCTTGGACAAGGTCCGGCAGCACCTGGAAAATCTTTCAGATAAGCAGCTGGGACCTGGGGGCAGTAGCCCCAGAGCAGCAGGGAGATGCAGCCTTCTGCCCCAGCCGGGGCACAGACGCCTCTGAAGTCCAGTATTCGATCACAAAAATGCAGGCATACTTTGTATCCTACTCTAAAACGTTTATTTCCAGTTTTAAAAAATCTTTTGAATTCTTTAACATGTGGGACAGGCAGCATTGACCTGGCCAAGCAGACGCTTCCGATTTTCCAGTCACCCCCTGCATCCTCTGACCTTTTATGGCAGGAAAAGGGTACCACCACCCCCATTCTCCCCTACAAGGTTAATTGGCCCAAATGGAAACGCAAGGTCCACCGTGCGACAAAGCTGTCGGTGTGAGCAGGTGCACGTGCAAAACCCCTTACCTCCTGCCCCGCCCCCTCCAGGCTCTGCTCAAAGCTGCTGCCGCGGGAAGGGAGGGGGCTGACCCGGGGCAGAGCAGGGGAGGTGGCCAGGACCACAGGCATCCTTTCATCATCACTAAAATGAAACCCGAATCAGGAAGGGGACCCACAGGGGTCACTGCCTCCAGCCTGCACTCAGGCTTCTACCATGGGTCACACTCACCACCCTGCCACCATCTTCACCTACCAGCTCTGGGAAGACCCCTCCCTGCCTCAGTTTACCCCCTACCTTCTGGGGATGTGCTCTGATGGCAGAGGCGCTGGGAGTCTGGCTTGCTGTCCCGAGTCCCCCACGCCATTCCTGCCTCCAAACCTTGGCTCAGCTCTTGCCCCCATCCTGCACAGCCCCCGACCCTCCTCTATCCACATCTCTCCTCAGGCTTCCCACACTGAGCTCGCTCCTCCAAGGAGTCCTCAGGTTTGGGACTGACACATCCCCAGGGTCCTCCTTAGCAAACACCTACTCCACCCACAAGTGACCCCATCGCACCCACCCACGCGTCAACCCATGCACCTGTCCGTATCTACTGAAGGCTGACTCTGCTGGGCCTGGGGCCCACAGCAGTGCACCCAACAGTCAGAAACATCCCTGTCCTTGCAGCACTCACATTCTAGAAGGAAGGAGGCAGTCAATGTATGAGATAAATCAGAAAAGTATCTACTAAGTCCAGTGAGAAATGCTGAGATAGAAAATAACGCAGCAATCAGAAAGGAGCTGAGGGGAGGGGAGGCTGGAATTCTCAATAAAGTGGTCAAGGCTGGGCATGGTGGTTCACGCCTGTAACCCCAGCACTTTGGGAGGCCAAGGAGGGAGGATCACTTGAGCCCAGGAATTCAAGACCAGCTTGGGCAACCTAGTGAGACCCTGTCTCTACCCCCAAAAATAAAAAATAAATAAAAAATTAGCTGGGCGTGGTGGTGTGCGCCTGTGGTCCCAGCTACTGGGGAGGCTGAGGCGGGAGAATCATCTGAGCCTGGGAGGTCAAGGCTGCAGTGAGTGATCATGCCACTGCACTCCAGCCTAGGTGACAGGGCAAGACCTTGTCTCAAAAATAAGAATAACAGGCTGGGCGTAGTGGCTTACGCCTGTAATCCCAGCACTTTTTGGAGGCCAAGGCAGGTGGATCACTTGAGGTCAGAAGTTGGAGACCAGCCTGGCCAATATGGTGATATCCTGTCTGCACTCAAAATACAAAAAATTAGCCGGGCGTGGTGGCAGGTGCCTGTAGTCCCAGCTATTCGGGAGGCTGAGGCAGGAGAACTGCTTGAACCTGGGAGGTAGAGGTTGCAGTGAGCCGAGATTGCGCCACTGCACTCCAGTCTGGGCGAGAGAGTGAGACTCCATCTCAAATAATAGTAGTAATAATAATAATAAAATAAAGTGGTCAGGCAGGCCTTGCTGAGAAGGGGACACGTGAGCAGGGACCTGCGTGAGGAGGGCAGAGGGAGCCATTCGGGGCCCTGGAGGAAGGGCAGCCAGGGTGGTGGGAATTTGCTTGACATGGTCAAAGGGCAGCAAGGAGGCCGTGGGGCTGAAACAGGGTGGGCGAGGGGGTGAGTGGACGGACAGGCCAAGGAGGTAATGGGGCAGATCGTGTGGGGCTTTGGGGGCCACAGGGAGGGCCCAGTCCTTCCCCGAGTGAGATGGAGTTGCAGGGGTCTCTGAGCCCAGGAGGGCCACTGCCTGACTCAGGAGTTCACAGGCTCCCACTGGCTGGGAACAGTCTGTGGGGGCAGAACGGAAAGGGGGACCAGGGAGGAGGAAGCTGTGATGGTCCAGGGGAAATCAAGAGGACAGGACCCCGTGGGGACTGCAGAGGGAGCAGCATGAGCAGGTTCCAGGCACGCTATAAAGGTGGAGGTGGCAGGACTGGTCAAAGGCTGCAGCATGAGCTCACAGGCAGGCGCTCGGTCTGGTCTGGCTCCATGTGCCACCCCCAGCACCTGGCCCAGAGCCTGGTCAGCCGGGGTCCATTCCCTCCAGGGCCCTCAGTGTTGCCTCACACGTTACAGCTGTTTGCCGGTCTGTGGCCGTCGTCCTCGCTAAGTCAGTGGCTCATGTGGACAGGCACCACGTTTTGGTTCACGATGGCTGCATCTCAGTGCCTAGAGCAGGGCGTGGACTCACAGGGGCCCCCTTCGTGGCTGTGGACTGGCCCAGGCCATGCCAGGCACGCAGACCAGGCCACATGGAGCCCTCTAAACAGCTCTGGGTGCTGGGTGGGGAGTCCTCTTCCTTCCTGTTCCTCACACCAGGAAACTGAGGCCCAGAGGGGGAAGTCACTGCCCAGGGCTATCCAGTGCCAGGTCACAAAAGCAGCCACTCTGTCCCACAGAGAAGGCAAGTCAACATCCCCCAGCCTCCTGTTCCCCGGTGGCCCCGGCTCCAGCCAAGGCCTCCACTCTAGAGAAAGGACCCTGGAG